TTTTTTTTTTTTTTTTTTTTAAATGAAAAACAGCCCGAGTACATGCTAGAGGTGCTGGTACGAGCAAACACCGCTAGCACGCTCAGGAAGGCTCCATCTATTGGTGGGGAGCAACACCTGCCGGAAATCGGGTCCAGCGTCCCGGAAAACATCCAGATTATCACGAACGTGCCACGTGTCACACCCTTCATCCTAACCAATTGTAATGGCGACACGAGAGCACGCTCCATTCAACGCAATGAGCAGCATTGATTGCCCTCTTTCCGAGGGGATTAACCGCCCATCGCAATCTAAAAGCTTATACCTATTCTGAAACCCTCGTCTATGTCATACGAAGACCATAAGACACTACGAGAGGAAGGGATATTCAGAGCAGGAAGATAGAAATTCAGTCATAGCGATCCCGCTTCCGAAGTCAGCAGTGAACCACCTGAGCCGCCACATGGCACATTCATATCACACAACCACTTCAATATTAGTGTCCACGTGGCAGCACCTCCCATTTCCGGGAATCGCAAGTTATGTGTCGATAACAGACACCGGCAGCAAAATCCTGGGCGAGAAACCACTACCAAACAGACAAAGTCAAACAATTATTATGGTTGATCCCATCATCTCTCCCAAAGTACCCGTCAATCGATCGCACCTTCAGCAATTAAGCCGAAACCTCACACGGAGAGACAAAGCTTTGTATTAGCTACCCGGCCGCCGCAATCCGCAAACCCACCCAAGGAAAAAGACATGAAGCCCATCCCTATCCCACCCCTTCACGCCTCCCCCCCACTTCCCACCTCCTCGCTTGGCCTTCCAGTTCGCAAACCAAACGACCCCCCACCCCTCTCGCCCCCAACCCCAATCAAACCCCACAACAGTCCCGAAGGAAGGCAGAATGAAAGCCAAGCAAATCACACTCACTGGTCCCCGAATATCGGCGGCTATTTGGTTGTTGCTACCGATTAGATCGACACACCCTGCATCACAGTTGTTGTTATTCTTGTCTTGAAGAGCATCATCGTTCCTGGCTGCATCTCCAGCGATGAAGCTGCTGGCCCAGAAGCCATTCCCGAAATCTGCGTCACCGTTTTTATAAAAACCGCCAAACCCTTGTCCCTCCTCAAGGGTCTTGCAGCCGCCCAACTTCAGATCCGCGAGCTCCACGTAAAGGGGCAGCCCCTCTTCCAACCCCCGTGGAGCATGACCCTGCGCAAACATCTCACGTTGCCAGAAACAACCAGGATCATTCGATGACGCCTCCTCCATAGATGTTGTAGTTAACAGCATAGCCGTTGTAGACTCTAACTGTGTAGCCATTGCTGATACTGTTGTAACTTTTGATGATAATGTTGTTGTAGATGCTGTTAATGATGCAGTCACTGCGATAGATGCTATTGACAATGAAACTGTACCAACCACTAATGATGTACCCGCGGTCGATGGCAGTGCCGCTAATATCGGTGATATTGATGATGTTATCAATGAATCAGATGTTGATGTTGCCGATGCTGTCCGTGTCTCATAATTACCTGGCAAACCTCCCGCATGTCTCCTCGCCAGAAGGCCAGCAAACATGTCCTTGACCTGCTGCAGCATCTCCAGGCAGTCGTAGAAAACGGCGATCGCCCGCGCTCTGTCAATCGCATCCCGCTGTCGCAAAGAGATCAGCTCATAAAGCTCATCATCCCAGCCGTTGTAGGTTTCCTCTCCCTCCAGCAGAACATCGTGTGGCAAATCTCCATTCACTTGACTCAGCGCTGCGTACATCTCCTCCAACTGCTGTTTATAGGTTATCACAGTAGAGAATGCAGACACTTCCTCCTCATCCTGCGAGTTGAGAGGGGATCCCCGCAGGCCCCCTTGAAGCAAAGTCTCCATGCCTTCCCCAATCATAGCTGATAGTAGCGAAGCCGCCGCTGCTAATGGTCAACGTCTCAGATTGATTCCACGGCTAGCGCTGCCCCTGTCCGCGCGCCGCGGGGCACCTGCGCCACCAACAGCGAGCTCCACGTGGCAAGACACCACACGCGTCTGCTGGGCGCGCGTACAGGCCCAGCGCCCGGAACAACTCCCCCGGGCACTAGTCGTGCCGGCAGCCCGGGCCTTGCCGGACTGGCGGCGACCGTAGCAGGTTTTTCTTCATTTTTCGAAAACAGGTTTTTCTTCATTTTCGAAAACAGGTTTTTCTTCATTTTTCGAAAACCAAAAAACGAAAGTACAAAAAAGAAAACGAACCAGCCTCTGAAAAGAAAAAAAGAGAAAC